GGAGATCCGCTGCGGCGCGTCCCGCCCGGCCATCTGCAGGCGCCCGCGCCGCGACCCGGGTGCTCCTTGTCACACGGAAGGTCACTGCCCCTCACCTGAGTCCCCACCTGTCGCTCTCAGGTGCTGCCCTGTGATGCGGGCTGCAGTCCCTGGGAAGAGAACGGAAGGGAGCAGCTCATTCCCAAACCTTTCTTTTCTTTTTCTTTTTTTTGAGACGGAGTCTCACTCTGTCGCCCAGGTTAGAGTGAGTGCCGTGGCGTCAGCCTCGCTCACAGCAACCTCCAACTCCTGGGCTCAAGCAATCCTCCTGCCTCAGCCTCCCGAGGAGCTGGGACTACAGGCATGCGCCACCACGCCCAGCTCATTTTTTCTACATATATTAGTTGGCCAATTAATTTCTTTCTATTTTTAGTAGAGACGGTGTCTCACTCTTGCTCAGGCTGGTTTAGAACTCCTGACCTCGAGCGATCCTCCCGCCTCGGCCTCCCGGAGTGCTGGGATGACAGGCGTGAGCCCCACGCCCGGCCATTGACAATTCTTAGCATCCCTGGAACAAGAGTTCTCTAAAGCCCCAGCCTCCCCAAGCACTGAGCAGCTAGTTCTAGACCCTCCCACGTGACCACCGTGGAAGGGAGCTTCTCACGCCGGACCAGAGAGAAAGACTGAGGGCAGGGCCGGGCGCGGTGGCTCACGCCTGTCATCCTAGCGCTCTGGGAGGCCGAGGCGGGAGGATCGCTCAAGGTCAGGAATTCGAGACCAGCCTGAGCAAGAGTGAGACCCTGTCTCTACTTTAAATAGAAAGAAATTAATTGGCCAACTAAAAATATATAGAAAATATTAGCCGGGCATGGTGGTGCATGCCTGTAGTCCCAGCTACTCGGGTTGCGTGAGCCCCACACGCCGGCCCATTTGACAATTCTTAGCATCCCTGGAACAAGAGTTCTCTAAAGCCCCAGCCTCCCCAAGCACTGAGCAGCTAGTTCTAGACCCTCCCACGTGACCACCGTGGAAGGGAGTTCTCACCCCGGACCAGAGAGAAAGACTGAGGCAGGGCCGGCGCGGGGGCTCACCCTGTCATCCAGCGCTCTGGGAGGCCGAGGCGGGAGGATCGCTCAGGTCAGGAATTCGAGACCAGCCTGAGCAAGAGCGAGACCCTGTCTCTACTTTAAATAGAAAGAAATTAAGTGGCCAACTAAAAATATATAGAAATATTAGCCGGGCTGGTGGGCATGCTTGTAGTCCCAGCTACTCGGGAGGAGGCCTGAGGCAGGAGGATCGCTTGAGCCCAGGAGTTGGAGATTGCTGTGAGCGAGGCTGACGCCACGGCGCTCACTCTAGCCCGGGCTACAGAGGGAGATTCTGCCTCAAAAAAAAAACAAAACAGAGTGAGGTCGGGAGGACCCCGGCCCCTGCCCTCCACTCCCGCCTTACTGCCGAGAGCCGCAGGCCTCTGTTGGCAGCCAGGTAGGGGTGCGGCGGTGGGAACTTCTACGGGATCTCCACCCTCCCGGACTCCACATGGACCCGTCGGTGAGCGAGAACCGGAACTCGTCCCCCCGACGGGGGCTCACGGGGCGTGTACCCCACCAGCCCGGCCAGCACGTCCGGTAGGTGAAGGAGGAGCCCCGAGCTAACGGGTCCCGTCTTCCAGGGGCTGGGAGGCACCCTCCTCCGGACGAGGTCACCTGAGCAAGGAGGTGAAGAAAGACAAAGACACCACTGGGGAATACATGCGGCGCCAAAACACTGTCCGATTTATTTATTTATTTATTTTGAGGCAGAGTCTCGCTCTGTCGCCCAGGCAAGAGTGAGTGCCGTGGTGTCAGCCTCGCTCACAGCAACCTCAGACTCCTGGGCTCAAGCAATCCTCCTGCCTCAGCCTCCTCCCCAGTAGCTGGGACTTACAGGCATGCGCCACCACGCCCGGCTAATTTTTTTTTTTCTATATATTTTTAGTTGGGCAAATTAATTTCTTTCTATTTTTAGTAGGGACGGGGTCTCGCTCTTGCTCAGGCTGTTTTGAAACTCCTGACCTCGAGCGATCCTCCCGCCTCGGCCTCCCAGAGTGCTGGGATGACAGGCGTGAGCCACCGCGCCCGGCCAGACGTTGGGGCTTTTTAAACCATCGGCGTCCACCGGGACTCCCGAGAATATTATAGGCCAGCTGTGCCTCTGATTGTACTTTCGTGCAGAGGAAGGACCGTATTCCGGAAAGGCAAAGAAATAGCCGAAATCTGTGTATTTATCCTGATAACCCATCGGGCGTCCCAACTAAACAGTTTTCCGCGGCGGTGTGCGT